TTTTTTTTTTTTTTAAATTTTTTTTTTTTTTTTTTTTTTTTTTTTTTATATTTTCCATCTATAAGAATTACATAAATTTATTTTAAATTTAAATCTTCTGTTTTTTGTTCTTTTTTATATTTGTAGTAAAATGTATTAAATATGAATAATGTTTAAAATTTAGTCGATATATTTTTATGATTCTTTTATATTAAAATAAGGAGGTTACAAATTTTTTTAGAAATTACCTTATGTTTTTCTTCTCCTGCACATTTTTTTATTTTTGTTATATCTTTAATTAAAAGAAAATGTAAAATTATACTTTATAAGAAAAAATTAAAAATAATTTAAATATAATTATTACAATCCTCAATTGTTTTTTTTTTTTTTTATTTCTAAGTAGTATATTAAAAAAAAAAAAAATGTGTAACATTTAACATTTAGAGATAATAAAAAAAAAAAAAAACGATGGTATTTTTTTTAGAAAGAACCATCTTTTTTTTCTTTATATCATAGATAATCAAAATTAATATATAAAAAAGATTTTTCTATTTATATATACTAGTAAAAAAAAAAAAAATTAAAATGTTACAATTTTTATTACAATATATAATAAAGTCGAAAAGTAATTAAACTATTAAATGGTATCAAAAAAAAAAAAAAAAAAAAGGAGAAAATATTAAAGTGTCTTTTATTTTTAAAAAAATTTGTAAATAAAAAACTAGTTACATTTTTATGTTGTAAAAAAGAAGAAAAAAAAAGTTGTTATATCTACAAGTTTCAATGAAAAAAAAAGAAAAAAAGATTTAACTTCTCATATAGAAAAAATTTAAAACTTGTTCTATATTTTTATTTATATTTAATAAAAAAAAAAAAAAAAATTTCCTACTAATTATTATTAATAAAAAAATATAGAGTAATTTTATTTTTAAACATAAATATTTATATAAGTTAAACTTTTCTTTGTTATGAAAATTTATTCTCTCTTAATGATTTTTTTGGTTAAATATTAAAAATTTGCACACCTACAAAAAAAAAAAAAAAAAAAAAAAATTTTTAGAATTAATCTATAACTGCTTAATTTGAAAATTTCACTTTTTTTTTTTTTAAGAATATAGTGATACATATATATAGATGAGAAATAAAAAAGAAAAAAAAAAATGTCTAAATTGTATAATTTTAAAAAAAAAAGTGAAGCAAATATAAAAACATGTTATGAATTGAATAGTGAAGATACTAATTATAATGACGATAATAATATTATAAATATAAGGAGGAAAAATTTTTCTCACAATAATATATTAGAACAATTAGCTACTTTAAGTAAAAAAAAAAAAACTTCTACTGAAGAAAATGATGTGTGGGATATAATATCAAATATATCAAATTATTCTTCAGATAATAATAAAGAAACAGAAAAAAAAAAAATTCTAATTTGTTTAGGTAATAATAACTTTGGTCAATTAGGTTCTGAAGAAAATGATTGGATAGGATTTGTAGATTTTTCATCCATCCTAATTAATAGAAATAAATCAGATTCTCATGATGAAAAATATAAAAAATGTAAAAAATTTAATGATATAACAAAGGATATAAAAAAAAGAAGAAATTCCATGTATAATAATTATTTATGCAATAATCTAGGTAATAACGAAATATATAATAAAATATTAACAAGTTTACCAAATGATTTTCATTTATCGACTATAGAAAGAAATATAAAGAAAAATAAAATAAGAAATTATAAAGATTATAATAATGATAATAAGGCTAGTATTTACAATAGTGATTCTATAAATAACAAAATTAGCGATATTAATAATTATTCTAATAACTATTACAGTTTAAATGATAACAATAAAAACACTGTTGAAAATTTAAACAAAATAAAATTACAAAAAGACAATAAGGAAATAGCTAACATTAAGTTAAATTATAGTTCTAATAATAAGAACGATTTAATTATTTCTAATATTATGACAAGAAATAAATATAAGGAAAATCTATTTAAAAAACAAAAAAATTTTTCTGAAAATGAAAACAATTATAAAAAATACAAAGAAAAATTAAAAGAATATGATGACTTTTTAAGTGTAAATGAAGAAGAAACTACTAACAGTAGTAATAAAAAGGACTTCAAAAATGAAGAGAAAATTTTTTTCATCCCTAATAAAATAAAATGTGGAAAATATCATTCTGCTGTTGTTAGCGAAAATGGTTTTGTATGTTTATGGGGATTAAATTATTATGGCCAGTTAGGAATAGATTCGAAAAACTCCATTTACACATGTTATAAAAAAACCAAATTCAGAACATTTAAAAATAAGAAAAATAAAAAATGTTGTCCACTAATTGAAAAGGAAAAAATTATTTTATCTCCATATATTCATAAATTAATTCCCTTAAAACAATTTGGGTACAAACATAAAGTGAAAAATATAAGCTTGGGGGCATTTCATACTTTAATATTATCTTATGATGGGTATGTTTTTACTTTTGGTTGTAATAAAAAATCTCAACTAGGATTACCTAATTATTATGACAAGAAAATTTCTTACACAAGTAAACCTTTTCTTATTCCTGTTAATAATAATTCAGATAAGTTTTTCAAATCTTATAACGATAAAAAAAAAAATAGATTTATTCTTTCATCCAATAAAACTTATTCTAAAATTTCTCATCCAATTATTTACATAACTTGTGGTTCATATAATAGTGGTATTATAGATGCCAATAAAAAATTGTGGTTATGGGGATGGAATAAATTTGGACAAATTGATACTTCTTATATAAATGAGAAAATAAAAAAAAAAGAAAAGAAAGAAAAGAAAAAAAAATATGAAATATGCACAAATAATGATAATATAATAAATTTACAAAAGAGGAAAAATTTAAAAAAAAGTGAAAGTTATGAAAATAAAAAGAGAGAACGAAAAAAAGAAAAAATAAATAATAAAAATGTAAATATACCAAGAAATATAAATATAAAAAAAAAAAAAATGGTGCAAATTAGTATGGGGAAATATCATAGTTTATGTTTAACTGAAGATAAATGTGTTTATGTATGGGGATATCTAAATAAAAATGAAAACGAAAAACATTGTTTCAATTCATCTAATGATTATTATAAGAATGTAACAGCATTAACAAAAATAAAATGTTTAAGTAATTTACATATATCAAATATTGTATCTTCTAGCACTCACACAGCCTTTGTTGCACCTATAAAATATGTAAATGAACAAAATTTTTTTATGAAATTAAACAAAAATTGGTATAAATCTAATATAAATAAAAGACCAGGTGACCTTTTTAGATATAATATATTATCAAAAAATGAGGGTAATAATAATACTTTTTTGAAATATTATCCTTATAACTACTTAAATAGAGGAGGAGATAATGTATATTATGTAAAATATACAGACTTACATCATTTAATAAATTTCAAAGAATATGTTAATGAAGTAGATAATATATGTAATAAATATTCTATTATGAATGATGATATTTATGGTAACCATAAAAATAATATTTTAAGAAATAATATGTTTGATCAACATTTAGAAAAATATAGCAAGAATTTTAAAATAGAAAATATATTAAAGCCATTATTTCTTACTCACAGTAATGAATATCCTGAAATTAATTCTTTACAAATATTTCAAATTGGCATTGGAAAAAATTTCGGAATTTTTCTGACATCTTCACCTTCTATAAATAAAATTTTAAATAATAAAAAAATTGATTACATAAATAACATTTGTTCTTTAGGTGTTCTTAGAAATAAAATACCTGAAAGAAATATATTCGTTATAGGAAAATCTAATTATAATCAATTATGTTTGCCTAGTAATAGTAAGCATACAATTAGTCCTGTTTATTTAGATAAAAATAAGTTAATAGATGAAGTGCTAAAAAGAAATAAAAAATACAATTTCTTAAATGTATCTAATAAAAAAAAATATTCAGATCAAATTAGCTACAATAATAGATTATTTTACTTAAAAAAATATGAGGAAAGAATAAAAAAAAGTGTAACAAATTGCAGTTTACTATATAATGATGTTCATCAGAAGAAATTCTCCTTAATTTCTAACAAGAAAAATTCAAATAAAAATTCTCTTCCATCTTATAAATTAAATGAATCAAACTTAAGTGTTTTTACTAATAATAAAAAATCTATTTCTTGTACTAACTCTTCAGAAGAAAGAGATAGTAATAATAATTTGAATATAACAAAAAACATGGAAAACGAAAATCAAAAAGTAGAAAAAAATGATTTAGAAAAATACTACAGACAAAATTTGAAAAGTAATCACATAACATCTACTATAGATGATCAGGATAAATTTATTAATGATGATTACAAACAAAATGATACACATATTTTTTTTTCATCTAATTTTTTTAATGAAAAAAATTCTATAAACTCTTCAAATTCTCATGTACTACCATTATGTGATAATTTAAATGAAAATTTGAACACAAAATTAGAAAGTGAAGATATAACTTCCTTTATATTTCATTGTGATAATATAGAAAAAAACAAAAAAGAAAAATCATTTCATTTAATTAAAAACGAAGGATTTGTAAACTTACTTAATCAGAAAGTAAATATTAACAGCGAAAAATCAAATGAAAAAGAAATCAACCCTGATTTTGAAATAAATGAAACCAATCATAATCCTTTTGAAGAATTTTATGAATATTCTTCACATAATATATTGTCCACAAATATGAATTTAAATATTAGCGATAAAGAAAATGAAAAGAATGGTGAACATATTAGTTTGAATCCTTATAATATTGTTGTAAATAATAATATATGTAATATTATTAATAAAAATTTAACTAATTTTGAAATTAAAGATGATAAAAAATGTTCTATTCTTACAAGAAAAAAAAGGAGTTCATCTGTTAATAAAAAAGACCTCTTTAGAAATATGATATTAGAAGCTATTGATAATATAAATAATAATACTTTTGATGATAAAAATGAAAAAATAAAATTGACTAGTTGTGAAAAAGCGAAATCAAAATTTAAAGTTTTTAAAAAAAGAAATTCTTGTTTATGGAATTTCTTCACCTACAATGAAACAAAAAAAAAAAATTCTTTAAATTATAATTTATCAGAAAAAATTGTTAATGTTACACTATTAGATGTTGCTTGTGGTGATTATCACTCTTTAATATTATTAGAAGTAGATACTTTAACAAAATAAACTTTAATATTTCTTTTATTATAAATATATTATATTTTAAAAAAAACAAAGAAATGAAAATAATTATTGTAAAAAAATTCATTTATAACATTCAAAAAAAAAAAAAAAAAAAAGTGATATTACAAAAACAAAAAATACATATTTTTACAATATTTAATAAATTTTATTATTTTTTTGTTACATAAATTATAAGAAATGAAGAAAGCATTAAAATTTTAATATATTCAATTTGTTTTAAACATATTTAATAAAAAATTCTTCTTTTTTTTTGTGGAACTATTTTTGATCTAAAAAATTCTTCAATTTTTTGAATATAAACATTTTAATATAACTTTTAAAATAATAAATTAAAACAATTTAATACATTATAATCGATTTAAAATATAAAAAAATACAAAAAAAAAAAAAAATAAAATAAAATAAAATATCGTTTAAAAAAAAAAAAAAAAAATGGTGTTTTTAAAAAAAAAAAAATGGTGTTTTTAAAAAAAAAAAAGTGGTGTTTTAAAAAAAAAAATGTAAAAAAAAAAAAAAAATAATTAAATTAATAAACTCTATACCTTTTAAAAAATAAATGCAAAAATATTTAAATAATAAAAAGTGAAAAATATTCCAAATTATGTAGATTAAATTTTTATATTCTATTTATTATAATATTTTATTTTATTTTATTTTTTTTTTTTTTTATGTAAAACAAGAAAGTAAGCAGAACAATAAATGAAGTTGGAATAATATGGAAAAAAAGAAATATGTATTAGATGCAAATAGTTTAATTAAATTTAAGGATTTCCTACATATGAAATATGAATGTTACATAACAGAAGGAGTAATAAAAGAAATAAAAGATGAACATTCGAAAAAGAAATTAAGTAACATTCTTCCATTATTAAAAATTGAGAGAGCTGAAGAAAAAGATATTAATTTTATAAAATATTTTTCAAAATTAACTGGTGATTATGATTCATTAAGTGAAGTAGATATAGAAGTTATAGCATTAACTTATATGCTCCATAGAAAATATGGCGATATATCAAAATTACGATCAACTCCTTTAGAAACGATATATAAATATGACGATGTTACATATGATTATTCCAATGTTATCAATAAAAAAAAATTTAATAAAAAAAATCGTAAAAATAAAAATGTAATAGAAGAAATAAACTCAATTAATTGTTATGAAAATTTAGAAGAAGAAAGGATATTTGATAAAAAAAATAATGTAGAAAATGAAAATGAATTTAAAAGAGAAGATTTTGTAATGAAGAGTGAAGAAGAAAATGAAAAAAGTAATATGAATTGTAAAAACAAAGAAATTGGTAAAAATGAAATAACTGCTGAAAATGAAAATGATAAAAATGAATTAATTAATGAAAATGAAAATAAGAAAAATGAAATAATTGAAGAAAATAAAGAATATAGTGAAAATGAAAAATATAATGAAAATGAAAATAAGAAAAATGAAATAATTGAAGAAAATAAAGAATATAGTGAAAATGAAAAATATAGTGAAAATGAAAAATATAGTGAAAATGAAAAATATAGTGAAAGTGAAAAATATAATGAAAGTGAAAAATATAATGAAAGTGAAAAATATAGTGAAAATGAAAAATATTATGAAAATGAAATAATTGAAGAAAATAAAGAACATAGTGAAAGTGAAAAATATAATGAAAGTGATGTAACTGAAGAAAATGATGGAATTTATACCATCAAAAAAGGGAATAAAAAAATATTAGGATGTGAAACAATAAAAGAAGAAGTAATAGAAGTAATATCAAATGATGATGAAGATAAAGATGGAAAGTGGATAAATATAAATAATATTGATACACTTAATTTAAATATAGATACAGAAGAACAATTTGATGCAAATATTGCTTGTGTTACTACAGATTATGCAATGCAAAATGTTCTTTATCAAATTGGATTAAATGTAATAACAATAGATGGATACAAAATAAACTCAATTAAATTATGGGGATATTTTTGTACTTCTTGTTATTTTTTTATGAGACGAAATTCTATATTGTTTTGTTCTAAATGTGGTAATAATAATCTAAGAAAAGTAAATGTTATTGTAGATAATAATTTAAAAAAGTTAGTTGTGAAAATTCCACAGTTTAGAATAAACAATAAAAACACTATTTTTAGTATTCCTAGAAAGAAAAAAAAAAGTAAATTTGAAGAAAAATTGCAAATTTTTAGAGAAGATGAATTATTAATTGGTGGTAGGAAACAGTATATAGCTCATCAAAAAAAATTATATGAAAGTCAAAAAAACATAAAAAATCCTTTTAACGATAATAATATTTATGATTATAATGATTGGGCATATAGAACAACATTGAAAAGTGGAAAAGTTGCAGTTTTAAAAAACCCAAAAATTATTATTGGAGGAAAAAGAAATTCCCACAAAAAAAAAAGATAAATAATTATAGTTTATATAATGAAAAATTAAATCATATTTGTTTACATTTTTATTGTATATTACTTTAATTAATTATACTTTTTTTTTTATATATTTTAAATATATTTTATTTTATTATATAATATTTTTCATTATTTTTGTTTTGTATTATTTTAATGTTTTATATACTTTTTTATTTGTACCTTTTAATGAAAAGTTATTTATTTTTTTTTTTTTAAAAGACTTTAAAAAAAAAATAGAAAAAAAAAAAAAAAAATAAATAAATAAATAAATAAATAAATAAATAAAATAATATTAAAATAATTAAAAATAAGAAATTATTATACGCAATGTAAATACACAGGAAGAAAAAATTCAAAATATATTTATACATTAATAGTAAAAGTTAATGGTATAAAAAAAAAAAAAAAAAAAAGGTGGAATTATTCTTTTTAAAACGGAAGGAGGAAAAAAAGATCTAAAGTAAAATAAAATTAAGAGAAAAAAAATAAATAAGAACAAATCTATTAAAAAAATAAAATATTAACTTTATTCCTTTATTTATTTTAAAAAAAGAAACTACATAATTTATATAAGAATGAATCAAAATAATATTGTTTCTATATCATTTTTATTTATTGTTTATTATTCAGTTACTCATGCTAATGTACCCATAGAAAATCCTCCTTTTATATTTAACAATAGCAAGGAAAGTAACAGAAAAATTAAAAAAAAAAAAATTTTCGAAATTTTGAAAAAAATATTGTTTTCTATTAATATTTAATTCAAAAAAAAAAAAAAAAAAAAAAAAAAAATGTAATAATAAATCATATAAAATATAAAGTAGTATTATTAATTTTTCTTTTTAACAAATAAATTAATATTTTTAGATGGGATAAAAATGTTTTTAGACAATCAAACACCAGAAGATTCTCTTTTCAAACATTCTTACTCGTTAGACACAACTCTTGAAAACTTTCCTAATCCTTTTATTCATCCTTCATTATGCAATAGAAATGGATTAAAATATTCTTATATATGTGATCCAAATAAAATATTGTCAAGAAATACAGCAGATAAAATAGAAGGTATTTTTTTTTTTTTTTTTTATCTTCTTAAAACATCCATTAAAATAAATAGCAAAATAAAATATAAATATCTTATTAATTTTTTTTTTTTTTTTAATTAATACTATAAAACGTAATTAAAGAAATTTTAATTTATCAAAGGAGCAACTCCAGTCATTATTGCATAGATAAAGAAGTTTCTTATATGTAATTTATTTATATTTAACTATTGTATATATTATTGTAAAAAATAAAAAAAACTTTCTTTTAATAAAATATGAGTGTTAACATACTACAAATATATATATATATATATATATATATATATATATATATATATATATATATATATATATATATATATATATATATATATATATTTATGTATATTTGTATATAAAAAGAAAAACATAATTGCAATTTAATTAAAGTGATAAAAATTAACCTAAACAATTTAATATTACATGCTATTTTTTCTTTACTGTTTTATTTTTTAATGTGCAAAAAAAAGTACTATCTATCTATCTATAATAAATACCTACATATTTTTAAATTTGATAAAATTAAAAAAAAAATAGATTAGGTGTGGCATTAATAAAAAAATTGCCTTATGGAGTAACTGCAGATACATTTGCCTCCCAAATATTAGAATATTGGAAATTAAGTAATAGAAATTGTAATGATGGAATCTTACTTTTTTTTGTGAAGGAAGATGCAACTTTTGTATTGAAATGGAAAAAGGGTTAGTAAATTTGTATATGTTTATAAAAAATAAATAAAATGTATACGTATTAAAATTTTAAATTAGGGGCACAATCAGTAATTAACTTTAGAACAGCTACCGCTATGCATAAATCATTTAACCAATATATAAGAAGATATTCTCTAGAATATTCAATTTTGAGAGGTAAAAAAAAATTCTACTTAATAAGTGGATAATGATATGTTTATTATGTTATATAAGTTAAAGTATTATTTTATATTTTTATAAATTTATTTCAAATAGAAAAACTAAAATATATATTCTTTTGTATTTCATTAATTTTTTTTTTTTTTTTTTTTTAAAGCTGTGAAATTGATATCAGAGGTATAAATATGTATTAAACATAACACTGTAAGAAAAAATATAATAAAAATAATATTCATTCCTTTTTTCATTTTTTTAAGTATCTTACGGAAGAAATAATTCCACCAACACAAACAACTCAAATGTAATTACGAGAGAAAATAGAAAATAAAAAAATGATTAAGAAAGAAAGAATATAAAAAAAAAAAATAAAAATATTAAATACAAAGATCCTTAATAATATAATCTGTTTAAATAACATATTTAGGGTTGTTGCTCTTACTATTGCAATTGTGGTTGGTCTTAGTTATCTTGCATGTATCTTAATAGGTATTTATTATATATTTATTTTTTTTAATAATTTATTTATTCATTTCACTGCCTTTTAATAATCAAATAAACATATACGTGCTATTTTTTTTTTTTCTTTTTTAGTTTTTACCGATGCTCAGAAAGTAAATAAAACCATTTAAAAAATTAGTTCTTCATATAATTTAAATGTGTTCTTTCTTAAATATTTTTATAGTTTGAATCTTAAAAAGAAACACAGTGTAAATTTTTTTTTTTTTTTTTTTTTTTTTTTTTTTTTTTT